AAATTCCAAACGGCATTTGAAAGATAATACTAATTTAGAACTTCCCTAAAAAAAGGGGGAGGGGCTCGAAAGTAATAATGCAAGGAAACCCGTTTACTTACTAGACTTCACTGTCAGACACTACTGAGTGCCTGACTGGCTTTTTTTCTTCTTTGTTAATAACATACATATAATGAGCTGTAAAGGGTACTTGAGCATTTGTCTACATCAATAACCCACTTCTTGTAATGGCCAAAATTAAACTGATTGAATCTTTGCGCAGCAAAATACGTACGACCATTCGGTACAATGGTCTGAAAAGCAGACTATTACCTACTGGCACTATAGCTCTTAAGTCGATTCGACAACTAATAGTCGTTATTTTCCCACTTAAAGACATTTTCAAGCCCCCCTTTTTTCAGGGAAGTATTATCTTTTAAATGCCGTTGGAATTTAACCTTTTTATTTGTTTGGCCTGCAAATGGGACATACATGTAGTACCTTTAACATGCGATTCACTTCACTAAATTCTAAATTAGTATTATCTTTCAAATGCCGTTGAAATTTAACTTTTTCATTTTTTGGTCCTGCAAATTGGACAAAGTTCCTTTTGTAGAAGACCAAATAATGTTTCCAGGATCTACTGACTTTCAAAAGTAGATATTACTGTAAGAGATGATTGAGAAAGGAGCAGACCAACTATATTAGCTTTGAAAATACCAGTCAATATGTTGGATGTGTCTAAGTGCAGATGAAAGATGGGGACGAAACAGAAGTCCAAGATTATAGAAAAAGACTAACTAATGTTCCCTAAAACTTTAACAATAAGAATACAATCTTGAAAGGAGTGAAAGCCCAGATAAAGATGGAAAGAGTAGCAAAAAAACTGTTGTACCTGCTATGTTTTTATCATAACTTTAATCACAATTATAATGATGACACATAGTTGTAAAGCTTAGATTCTCCTCTTTCATTTGGTGCAAATATCCCTCTTGTTGATTTCTGAATGATTTGCGTAACCACAGGTTTAGAAAAACCAGTGAACATAATTATAGGCAAACTGAAAGCGATGGTTGTGCATAAACTAAACTTTTTGAATAATTTTCATCCGTAGCACTGGAAATGAGACATTTGTCCTAGCATTACTACACTACTAGTACTACTAGTACTACGTCTACTAAAACTACCACTACTACTAGTACTACTAGTACTACAACAACTACTACAACTATACTACTAGAAGTAGTAGTAGTAGTACTACTATTACTACTAATACTACTAGTACTACGTCTACTACAACTACTACTATTACTCATACTACTACTACTACTAATACTACTACTACTACTGATGATAATAATAATCATCACCATCATCATTTGAAAACTAAATGAACGTTAGCTGTAAAAAAAATTTGAAAAAACAGGAACAGGCAATTTCTGCTAAAAGTATGCTTTCCAATACAGTTATAAAAATTATAATAATTGTAAAATTATTTTTCGCAAAATTAATGTAATATACTCAACCACGCATACATAACAATGTAACAAGAAAAAAAGGCAGAAATTAAAACAAAAATGACATTAATTCAGAAACAACACAAAATGAAAACACATTATATTCAGTCATACAGTATATTTAGACAAATCCAAATTTCGATAGGCATATTCATCTGAGTTCTAGTACGGAACGCTTAATTTCACTATATTTTCCTCTTGTTTGAACACCTTGAAGATTTCTCCAAAATGGAGTACGAACAAAACGAACGTTGAGGAAGGGCAGTCAAATTCAGCAAAACGTTGAGCATAATTATTATCATGAAATGAATATACTTAGGTGGCGCTCTTCTATAGAAGTCCTTACGATAGTTCAATTTGCAGATTTTAAAATAAATTAAAAAAATAATTAAAAAGATATTTATTTCATCGGCAAAATTGTTTTCAATCTCCCCTTTTGATCATCGTACATGTCATGAAAATAAAATGATTTGATCATATTCTGTAGGTAAATTTATTTTTGGTCTCATATGCATATGAAGCCATTCCTTCTCAATTTATGAACTGTCAGTACCTCAACTTTTTAGGAACCGTACTTCCCCCGACAACATGCTTGGTCATCCAAACCATCATGGACCTACTTAGGTCCATGGTATGATCAATTATCTCTCTAGTATGAACTAGGTCTGTAAATAAAATTCTCAGTGGGGTGACTCAATCCAGTCAGCTCCAAAAGGCTTTGAATTTATTACCGTAATGTCTGGTCCGGTTGTGCGTGAGTTTGCATGCATACACCTTTGTCAGCCGTTACAGTGCGTAACATGTTAGAGTCTGCACTGTAAGACTATGCTGACGGTATACTGCCCTGTACTTTAGCTTCCAGAGGCGGACAGAGATGGGCTCTGCTCAAGGCTTCAGGAATTATGGTATAGTGTCAAATTAGAGCCTGTTCTTGCAGACTATACTCCACCTGCCGAGCCATGTATTTCGCAGAAAGAACGTTACCGTCACTGCCATTTACGTATATGGCCGGCCCCCTCTTCAATAAAGGCTCCCAAGACTTCTGGAATGACCAACAAATTTCCTGATTACCACACTGCCGCTCTTTAGAGTGGCCGGGCGCAGTAAAAGTATTTGTACACTAACATTTGTAGGCACCATGGCTTAAAATAAACAAGCATGCTTATAATTTTTTGAAAATAAGCCGACTTCCGACTCAGTTTTGCACAACCTAAAATTATGGTCAGTCATCCCCCCCCCCCCCCTTTCCATGCGCGCGCATTTCACACGCACATACCCCCCCCCCTCAAGTTTGTCCCGTTTTCGTCGCTACTGTCACTGAGTGCCATTTCCTACTCTTTCTTCCTTTCTCATCCGGCTTCTCTCTTCTTTCTCTTTTCTCTTTCTTTCTCTCTCTCTCTCTCTCTCTCTCTCTTTCTTTCTTTCTTTTCTCTTCTTTCGTTTTTCTTCTCTTTTCACTTGTCTTTTCCTTTCTTTTTTCTCTTCTTTTCTTCCTCTTTTTTCCTTCTCTTTTTTTTTTTTTGGCGCCGCCAATGGGGGGGGGGGGGGGGGGGTGGCGGCCGTTTCGCCCCCCTGGATCCGCCACTGTGTACACTATGCTACTAAAAACGACAATAGCCCATTAAACCATCACTCTAACGTATTGAAAAGGACAAAACAAATTACCCCAAATAAGACATAATGATCTTACAAAATTTGGAAAGGTTCTTTTACTCTTTAACAGAATTCGCATTGAATAAATGATGAAATTTGGTAACGTTAGGCCAACTGTAATAAAAACATACTGCTTACGAAAGTCATTGAAAGCTGGCCACACCAGAACATAATGAAATTCATCACCCTGTACCTTAATATTACACAGGGAACATAACTCAAGAGGTTGATCAGATAAATAACGACATTTGGTAACTGGCAGCTTATTATTACCACGACGAAACTTACAAAGAGATATCCTATCACCTATGTCCAATTTCAACAAATAGCTCTCCAAACCACATTCCTGTTTAAAAAGCCTATAATTAAAGCATAAACGATTTCTATAAACTTCATTATTCCAATTTTGCAAATCCATATATTTTAATCTAAGGTCCAAAGATGACTTAACCCAACCAAGGTTCAAGGGAGTATCCTCAACCCACAAGTATGACATTCCACTCTTGTCTAGGATACTTTTAACTTTCACAATCCACCTTGATTCAAAATCACAACTTTCATGTATCTTACATAACAGACTGTAAATAATGTATGAAAGCTTAGATTTTTTGACCTGACTAAATTGATCATACGTTTCTCCACTTTACTAGCTAAAGCAAATCTACCAACTTCGCCATAAACCATACAGTTGGCAGTGCCACGGTTAAGTTTAAGCACGCTCCTGCTCACAAAATATTCAAAGTCATTTAAATACATAGCAAACAATAAAGGCGATAATTGTTCTCACTCCAATATTACACGCAAAAGAATTACATAAATAACGACCATGCTTAATACAGGACTTGGCATCTGAATACATGTCATAAATAGCATGGATGACGTTACCATCAAATGCTTTTCTGTAATCAATAAAAGCACAATAAATTCTCTTACGACGATGCAAATATAAATCAATAAGACCATTGTGAAGTAATACACACACAAAGAAATATATATATGATCAATTGTGCTATAATTTCTAAACAATCCAAATATCCAGTGAGCCTTGCATTTATACAGGCAGTAAATAATGATAGTCAATGCTCCGTTCCAGGCAGAGCAGGCAGTCGCTGGTGGGGAGATCTTAACATGTTAATCCGGCGGTTAGCATGAGAAACCGTAAATATAATTTATAATATAATGTATATTTTATAAAAGTTTTCAAGGTATGCGAGGTTTTAGTTTTGGGTGTTTAAAAATAAGTATTATTAATATCTATTTCAGGGGTACATACAGTTAGTATATGCAGGGGCGGATCCAGCCGGCGGCAAGGGAAGGGGGCAACTAGGGGGCCCAATTCGTGAGAAATGTTGAGCGGCGAGTCAGCCAGCCGGCGACTAAGCGGGGGGGGGGGGGGGGGGGGGGGTGGAGCACTAATATCTTCGGGATTCGTGAGAAAATATTTAACGCCGAATCAACACCCATCCCCCCCCCCCCTTGCGCCAGGGGGAGGGGGCCCCGTCTTCTATTTTATCTTTTTGGCCAGGGGATCTGCCACTACCTGTGAAAAACCAACAAAACAAGTTTTAGATCTATTTGCTGAGTAAACAGTCCAGTTATGGTGTTGACCAGTATTTTACATTATTATATAAAGAGCCCACAATTTAAGACAATTTTTTGCTATTATGTACATGTAATTCTCTTTCAGAACTTTTAAAAAGAATTCATAAAAGCACTACAAATCATGTGACACTTTAGAGAGAGAGAGAACAAAAATTATAATGTACATGTACACCCTGTATACATGAAAATATATTACATAGTCAACAATTCATGTCTAATCGATTTTTGATTTCATTCTTTGCAGATCATCTATGTGTCAACATTACAATCCCATTCATTCAGCCCTTCCATCATACAGAAGAAATACTCGTCACTCATTGGCTGAAGGCTGTGCTCTGCTCAGTAGCACAATGAGCATACCATATTAATTGGCAGCCCAATCGATATATTAGAGACATTTTTTTTTGGCAATGATGTGTGCAGGGCAATTTGGCCGCATATGGTGATACAGGCACTAACAGTCACTTGGAAGTTTGAACAGACGCACTCTGCTCCCATGATCAGGAACACTCCACAAGGATGAGGTGCTGAGCGCATGCAGTAGATGTTGTGTTCCGAGCCTCCATCATTCACCTTCATCATTCTATCCTAAAGAGACGGCTCTAGGTGTCGGTGGCCGTGGAAGATTTACACCATCATGGCAGGCTGCTCTAAATGGTAAGCCCTCAGCATAAAGTATGCAAGAAAAATTGTACGTGTCTTGGTGTTCGGGGAATTGGTAATGAGCTTGCTTGATGTCAAATATGTTTCTGTACACAAACTACACATACAGCCTTTTTTTGTTTTTTGTTGTTGTAATAATTCTTTTATTTATTGCAAACCATGAGTGGGATTTCACAAAATAAAAAGACAAGCATAAAAATGGTTTACAATATAGGTATATATATATATATTTGTTATATATATATATATATATAACAAATATGTATATACCTATTGTGAACCATTTTATGTATTTAAAGTGCCAATTTATACAGTTTCATTGTACAAAGTATATATATATATATACTTTGTACAATGAAACTGTATACATTGGCACTTTACATACATAAATACAAGAAAATAACATTCCAGAACAATCGCATTTAAACATAATTATAAGGTACATGGGACTTCACAGGACCAATAATCATACATCAACTGACACGTATTGTTCAGAACAATTAGGAATGATGTTTAACTTGAAAATCATGTAAAGAATGAATTGGAAAGTAGATTTTGAAAGAGAGTAAAGCCCCAAATTGAGTGGTGGTATAACGCATTATCCATAAAAGAATACAAAATATTAATATATCCCGCCAAATTCAATTAATATCAAGTTTGTAATTTTTAAACAAAATACAATATTTAGAGTTTATACTATCAAAAATGAAAAGTATATCAAAAATAAATCAGGTAAATAATAAATAAAGTGAATTAGATATACCTATAAAATTGCTAGTACTTAAACGATAAAACATACAGAAAACCGACTGGATGTATAATCCATACAATCATTCTAACACTTAATTATTGCATGGAGTAATTATTGCTATAAATATAACTATATATTAATTAATTAATTAATTATTTCAAGTTCACAATGATAACAAGGAAATTGTATTAATCTGTATTTAGCATTTAAAATTATTTCAAAATTATTATAATAAAGTGTGTAAAAGAAGTAAAGAGTCTACTCGATACTATAATTTAATATGAAATTGGAAATAATTATAATAAATAAATTTAATAAAATGTAAGACGGTGTGCAAGGCTTGAAGACAAGTACCCGAAGTTTGAAACTGGTAAACCTGTGTCGTGTAATAATTAAAGTGTTTAAAACAAGGTTGATGTCTTCTTATAAAATTATTACATTCGATGAACGAAAATATACTTAATAAAGAGGATAATTAAAATACATTATATTTGGCAAAATCATTGTAGATTACAGACACCAGGGTATGAAGCTATTTTTGTATCTATTAGTTTTGCATTTGGGAGGGTACATGTCTTTGCTGTTCCGAAGAGAGTATCTTGTTTCTCTTGGAGCAGGAAGAAGAGGATTCAGCTTATGGGTTACGAATTTGGGTAAACAAGTTAAGGCATAGTTTTCTTCTACGTTCAGAAAGGGTTTCATGTGTATTTACTTGTTTAGATACTTGTAAGTCATAACAATAAGAGAGAGAGAGAGGGGGAAGGGGAGAGGGGGAGGGGAGAGAGAGGGAGGGGGAGAGAGATGTACATGTACACGTTTATTTGTGTTGTGTTTTTATGATCTCTTTTTACTTTAGGGCTGTTAATACAAATCTGTAAATGATCAGATATAAACTTGTGAGTCCTTTTAATGTGCATTTAAGTTTCATGTATTTTTTTGTAACTGAAGAGGATGAATGAATAACTTAAAGTGCAATGAACATTCACTTCTTAAAAAAGAAAAAGAAGAGAGAGAGAGGGGGGGGGGGGGGAGTAAATTACCATGTGAACTTACAAAATCAGACTAATGAAATCTGCATTTAATTTTTTTAAAGCATTATAATGTGGGAATATCAAATATGTGAAGCAGATAATCATTTCGAATGTATATGCTATATTTTGTCAGAGCAAAAAACAACAAATTAAGTGATAATTCAATGTTGATTATCTTTCTGTAAATTATGTTTTGAAGATGGGTTTGCAAAATAGACATGGGAATATTAAACATGTTCAAGTCTGTTGTAACCATGGCAATGATTGGAGATTTTTTTTTCTTCAGTGAACGATCCATCATTTATTACTGTCATCCTGAAGACTGTAGTAAAACTTGCCAGAAGCTTGGGTCTTTGTCATTTCTTCTGAAATCAATGCTCCCTCGATCATCTCAAATTCATAGATTTTCTAGTGGTACGATTACGTACATCTCCAGGTTTTTCTCTTTCTGTAAATATTTTTTTTTTGTCGATAAGAGCCCTACCTACAAGCAAACAGTAGAGAGAGAACACATATACACATCTCTACATGTACTTGGAGTATGTCAATACATGCATGATATTGTTTTGGATAAAGAATATGCAAGCATTGCAAAGCATTGGTTTGGGTCACGAAATTTAAAGGAATATGTATTGTTGGGTCAAATAGGTCGGATGTTCCAAGAATTATTGAATGGCAATAGGGCATTTCCTGCAATGTGTCCCATGAAATAAGTATCCATTTATCTTGATCTGACTATTGAATAATGATTAATTAAGGTACTACAGTCAAACCTGCTTGAGCGACCACCTGTTGGCTGTATAGAAAGCCCACCTGTCTTTAAAGACCATATTTTAAGTTTCCCTTGAATTTGTCTTTTTATTGAAACGTTCACTGAAGGAACATGTAGTTAAAGACCACCTTTCAATAAAGACCACACAATTGTTCATGTTTCCCTATGGGACACATTGCACCCAATCGCCCAACGTACAAAGCATCTTCATCTTTGAAATGATTATCGTAAACCTTCCAGTTGAAAATCAATGATACTTTGTATAAACTACATCTACATGCACATGAACATGTATGCAGTATGTCACTTACACAAACTGTTAAGTTTCCCATCAATCGTCCATCTGGAGTTAGGCAGTGCAAGATAAGTTTTGTTCAATATGGAAACTAATAGTATGCGGATTATGAGTGAGGTACTAAAACTGGGACAGTGCGGTAACCAGAAACTTCATTTTTAGCTTCTATACAATATGCAGGTCTTGAATATCCAGTATAATAACATTCATTTCACGCAGGACAAATGTATAATAATAATAATAATAATAATAATAATAATAATAATAATAATAATAATATTGTATTGTATTGTATTGTATTCTGCAGTAATGTACTATATGTCGTTAGTAAAATCGGTTACTCTTGTCCTTTTTTCCTTGATTGATTTTGTTTGTTTTTCTGTTCTTTTCCTAGGTTTCTGGTGTGCTTAGTCTTGTGTCTCGTAGGTTTGGTCATTGTTCTGGTCATCAACGACGCCAGTATCGATGTCATGCAGAGGACTGTCACTTCACATCGTAAAAACTTCGGCAGGTGAGAATTCCCTATGCCTAGGTCTTAATTATGAGTCCATTTTGTATCTATGACAATTTTATGCCTGACATTTTACCTCTGACATTTTTACCGGGCACCGTAAAAAAGGCGGGTACTGGAGATGTTGTCGAGGGTAAAAAGGGTATATTTTGTAGTTAAATTGGTCTGCAATTGGTATGAACAGTGACTTTTGCATTTTTCAGAACCGCAACTGAAAAGCGGACAATCAATCGTTACTTCCATCCTTCTGCTTAAAAATCAAGCTTTTATTCAATAGGCGCATGTGCGTAGCTAAATGACATTTTCACTTTGTCTAACAAAATTAAAACAGGAATCGAAAATGACCTGAAATTGTGAGTTATTGATGTTTGTCGGTTGTGATTTATTGTGTCAAGAATGTGGAGAATAAATAAACTAAATATTTTACAATGAAAAAAAGGAACAAAAAAAAGATGAATGATGATTAAAACTTGTTGGATTATCATTTTTCATTACCCCTAGATACTCTAAAGATGCGATCCTACCCCGCTTATCGAGCATGCTGAGAGGCTCCAAGACAGCAGCAGAGCTTGAAGATGGAGAGAAAACCTCCATCAATGGGTCATTCTTCAGGTCAACCCTAGAGGGAATCCTAGACAATGACTTCAGCCAAGCTCCGGAGCTATCCATACCACAGATGGTCATAGAGGAGAGGAAATATCGCCATGATGACCAGTTTGAAAAGTACCTGGTGAGTCGGTGATTCTACCTAAGCCATTGACTGCTGAGTTCCCTCACTCCTAACCAGGAGCCACCTGGTTTCGATAGCCAATGGGTTAAGGGCCAATCCAACCCTTGTAATAATTTCATCTGTATGAAAACGGAACAAATAAGAGGCATAGAGAGGCAAAAGTTTGGAGAAAAAAATCTGGTGAATGATGAGAAAGTTATAAGTGCTTGAAACATGAGATCACCTGTGCAAATCTCAAATTGGAAATTTTGTCAGTGGATTGTGACGTTGTGATGGATAATTCTGCCATTTGTCATGTATTAAAATTTCTAAAATTTCTGTTTTTCTCCTAATAAAGCGCCTTCTCCCTTAGGGCACCAATACAAATTTGTTGTGGGTAGAATGTTATAAAAAGATCTTTAAAATGACCCTCCTGAATCATACGTTTCAAACAATTGATATTTTAGTTATTTTGTGTATTGTGTATTCCCATACGCGTAGTGATTAAAAATTTCAAAAATTCATAACTATCTCATCTTTTGTTTGATTTTGTTCAAACTTTCCCCAGTCTGCTTCTCTGATTGTGTTGCTTTCTTTTAGAGTAGTTTACCACCAATGTTTCCCTTAAAGGTGTTCTCAAATGATAGCTAGAATTTTTCAGCATTTAATGTATTTCCTGCTTGAAGCGAGAAGTGCATTACCTCTTAATAACATTTTTGGCTCTTGACAGAGGGTATTCCCTGTATGACTTTAGTCTCTTAGTTGTTTGTAAAAGTCGATTATAATAATAATGTTGAGAGGTGTGGTGATATATACACTTAGAGAGGATTTCAGCTCTGATTTTGAACAGATTTATAAGATTTGTATCTTTCTCTTACACCATTCTCTTTATCTCTATCTCTCTCTCTCTCTCTATCTCTATTTATCTCTCCCCTTTTCTCCCTCCTTTTATTATCTCATCAAACAGACTTGATAAACTTATCAATTAACCCTATTACTCTGGACTGCCTGATGACAAGTTCATGCAATTTTGCATTGAATTTCCCTCTTACAATTTTATGCGTTTTCAAATGAAGAAAACGCTTGATGGAAATCAATTTTCCTGTTTTTCCCTCTTCTCCAGAAATGTCCCACCACAGTGCGGAAGAAGATGCTGGATAATCCCAATATTCGATCCAAGTTTGTTTCTGACATCCCGATCCTCATGTGGGATAAGCACTTCAATGCCAGCGAGTTCAGAAGACTCACCAAGTTCAGGGCCATCAATGGATGGAAGGACATGAATTATACAGGTGATTACGGCATAAACATGTAGTTGGGTTCCCGCAGTCATTGACAAACCTAGAAAAGTCAAGGGAAAAAATATTTTAAGATGTGGATAACTCATGAAATGAAAATTACCCAAATCACGGTAAACCAATATCATTCAAAGAAACAAATGTGATAGTCTCAGGGCCAGAGGTGTTTTAAGTTCCCAAATGACAATATATTACAGGTTTATTTTTCATGTAATATTATAGAGATAACGACTGCTTTGAGAGGCCTGGCTGTTTTATATGCTCAAGGAAATGCGCTAGTTCCTGAGAGCATATAAAGCAACCAGATCTCGAATAAAGCAGTCGATATGTCTTTTATATGCCGAATTGAAACAAAAATCTACCAAGAATTCTTACTTTATTCTTTTATTGAGTAAAGATTGGTTAAAACATCACGGAAAATCTGAGACACTGTCTGTTAATCTTAACTTGAAAAATGACTGAAAGTTTCGATCATTTGGGAATCGCAGACAAAAAACACTGTATGGTGTCCGCGCTCACACAACGACAATTTTAACACGTAAACCAATGAGTTTCGCAGCAAAATTTAACTATTTGCATGGTAACCGGAATTTTGAAGGATCTCACTCTCGGACTATTAACTGGTTTTGGCATTTTTCGTTTCTTTACGGGAATTGCTGAAATCACGACTCCAATTTTGACCAATCAGATGGCTGGATTTCTAAATGAGGCATATAATATATGTTAAACAAATTGTATTACGTATTTCTCTTCTCTTCTCTTCCCTCTCTTCTGTCTCGTCTTTCTCTTCTCATCCCATCTCTTCTCTCTTTCTCTCACCCCACTCACTATCTCTCTCCCCTCTTTCCTCATGATTTCTGTTATCTCCTATCCTCTCTTCCCCCCCCCACCTCCCCCCTTTTTTTTTCACCAGATATTCGTGGCATGGTAGGGCAACTGAACTCCCCCAGCAATCAGTACATGTTTGATGACAGGTTACAGAAGGGCCAAGTTCCATCAAACGATTGCACAACATGTGCAGTCATCGGCAACGGAGGCATCCTCAACGGCTCAGGGAAGGGAGCAGAAATCGATGCTCATGACTATGTCTTCAGGTAAACATTCTAATCTGTTTTTCATTATGTATAGAATACGTGAAAGGGAGAAGGGGTCAAGTCTATCAGAACATTTTTTTTTTTTTAGATGTTTAGAGATATTTTTCTCCATTTTCATCATAAACAGGATTTCACATGGTCATTTAAAAAAAAAAAATCATCATGATAAAAGCAACAAAGAACATCTATTAAATGTTCATTTCCATTAAAGGTATTAAATACAAAATTTTGGTATCCGGGGTCATGAATTTGGTTTAAATGAACATATTGGAAGCATATGCGATCCTACAATATTCAGTGATCGTTGTCGTGGTTGAAATTGAGTCTAAAGTTACGAAATTGTAAATAATCAACTCTTTATGTAATTAAGCCATAAAAACAATGTTTGTTTACTAAAATCGACCGATTGGCTATTTCCATTTGGAAATTATGTATCACAAATACATATTCTGAAATTTTCATGGTCAAAGCTACCATAATTATGGCCGTAAGCGCTATTTGAAATTTATTTATTTAGGAAAACGCAAAATTTGGTGATTAAGGGCCACTCCCTTTTTCCATTTGCATCACCAACGGGATTTCACAAGGTAACTTCAACAACAAAAACGGATCATGATAAGAGGAGTGAAGACCTTCAACTCTTTTCCATTAATAGCCACTACCTTTCTTTATTCTCACTCCGTACCTCTCTTTCTCTCTTGTTCTCTCTCCCTTTCTCCCTCCCCCTCTCTCTCTGTACAACACCTTTTTCATATTCAGACATCCTGTTCCAGCTGTGCTTATGTACATATTGAATTGTACAGCAAAGCTGAAGTTGTTCAAGTATTTGTAAATACCCCAACCCTTAAAATTCAAGGATCGTGATGGCAATTTTATTGTCAATGTCAAAGTCGATCGTCATTTATAGAGAAGATTGATTTCTGGTAAAAACTGTTTAAAAAGCGTTTAAAAGTAGAGAAAAAATAGCTTCTTTCCATTAATGGCCACTATCTTTCTCCATTCTTACTCCCTCTCTCTTCATTTCTCTCTCTCTCGTTGAGAATTATTTCTCAAAGTTTTGCAGGTTTCTAATGTTTAGCTTCAGTCCCTCACTCCTCTCTTCCTTCTTCCTTTTTCTCTCTCTCTATCTCCTTCTTTCGCCCTTACTCTGTTCAACATTTTTCTCATATTTAGACATCATGTTCCATATGTGCTTGTGTACATATTGGATTTTACAGCAGAGCTGAAGTTGTTGGAAGTATTTTTAAAGACCCCAAAACTCAATCTCTCCCTTCCCCTTTCCCTCTTCCCAACACCTTTCTCATATTCAGACATGTTCTATATGTGCATATGTACATATTAGATTTTTCAGCAGAGCTGAAATTGTTGAAGTAATTGATCAGGTCTCAACCCTTCAAATTCAAGGATCATGATGGCAATTGAAAAGAAGCTGTATTCAATGTCAATTGTCATTGTCATTGTCAATGTCAATCGTCATTTAAAGAGGAGATTTTTTTCTGGTAAAAACTAAAAATGAAGTGTAAGCTTTCTCATTAATTGTATGTAAGTTTGGAAGAATACCAATAGAAATCAGTTCTTGTATACTATGAAATGAACTTTTCACAATTGCTTTTAGACAGCTTTGTCTAAAAGACAGCAAAAGACAGCATTGTTAGGAACAAAACATGACCTGAGCTTTTTTTCGTTTCTACTTTTATATACTTTTTGTAGTATCTATACAAATAAATTGTTATTGAAACAAAATGATCTCCATAAAGCTGAAGGTGGTGGTGGTGGTGATGATGATAATGATCATATTGATATTGATGATTTTGACGATGGGGATGATGATTTACATGATGATGATATTGATGATGATTACGATGGTGATGATTGTTAACGATGATTATCATGATGATTTTATGACACGTGTCTTAATTCCTATTCCAGAGTAAATGCAGCAATTACCAAAGGGTTTGAGAAAGATGTTGGTAAAAGGACGTCCTTTTATTGTTTCTGCATGCACTCACTCCACAACACACTGGCGAAGAGACGCAAGACAGGATTTGAAATACCAAAAGATGATGAGGTAGGCCTAGGTATAGAGGAGATGGGAAGGGGAGTGGGAGGAAGGGAGGGAGGGAGGGAGGAAGGGAGGGAGGGAGAGAGGGAGAGGGAGATGGGGGAGGGAGAGGGGGAGGGAGGGAGGGGAGGGAGAGAGTGGATGGCATAGGAAAGGGAAGGGTGGGAGAGGGAGGGTGGAAGAGGGAGGGTAGGAGGGAAGATGGGAAGGGGAGAGGGAGGGAGTGAGGGACGAATAGAGATGGAGAAAGGAAGAGGAGGAAGGGAGAGGGGAGGGGGATGGGAGGAAGGGGATGGAGAGGGGGAGGAAGGGGATGGAGAGGGGGAAGGGGATGGAGAGGGAGACAGGGGATAGGAAAGGGGAGGGAGGGAGTACCAATGCATTTTACAACTTTTCACTTTTTATCCTGCCCCTTATACCAATGTACTGCTCGTTCCATGGCGCGAAAATCAAAACAAATGTGGTATCACTGTAAAGAGGAATAAACATATTTTCAAATGATAGCAAACAAAGCTATAATTATCCCACGGCAAGAGAGATATAACACTGATCAGACTTGAGTTTTACAAACTTTTTATGAGAGGTTTAAAATCAAATGTTGTATATTTCTAGCTGTTTTCTTTCCTTCCACAGAATCTTCGTTACCTTTTCTTTGCCAAATCTGAATGGACTTACACATATCTAGATGCAGCGTTGTCAGGGAAACCTTTACCTGCCAGCACAGGCAAATACCACAGGTTAGCTTCAAATTGCACCTTCCTTCAAGATCCTCCATAAAAACCCATATAGCAGCTGTTTTTTGTTGAGTTTTCGTAATTTGCATATACAATTTATTCATATACACTTTTGTATTTCTTTTAACTGTGAAAAAGTGGAAAATACAAAAAATTGTTGCCAATTTGAAGCAGAAAATCTGATTCATTTAGACCTTTAGATAACTCTGTAATTTGATATATTATATTGTGCCTTCTCATGCTTATCTACTTTCTAATGCGCATTTCTCTTTCCTCAGCTTCTTCTCAACCCCACATGCAACTCATCATTTTGTTTTATTTTCTGTACCCCTGATCTCTCACTTCTTTTTTTGGTATTGTCTACTCTTTGTGTTATGGCCGTGTTCTTTTATCTTTGTCATGTAAAGTATTGAATTGAATCGAATTGAACTTTATTTGATTCCAATCACAGTAAAAATGACATTAAACATTGTTGTAAAACATAGGCAAAGAAAAATAAATTGAAATATATACATTTATTTATTTAAAAAAAAAATAATAATAATAATAAAATAAGAAAAAGAAAAAGAAGTCATGATTAAATCTATCAAGAGTAAAGGATGGAAAAAGATGCATCCGTAAAAGCCACAGGGGCTTGATGAATAGGCGCACCCTGAGCGCGTCAGAATATAATTAACAATTAAAAAAACTCAGTCAGCTGGAGAAGAGTAAAGGGATAAACAAAGTGTACAATATATCATTTAAGAATAACTATACAATGACAAAAAGTGCTGCTTAAGTTTATGGTTAAATGGTTTGGGGAACTGAATAGATTTTTAAGAATGTGGTAATGTGTTCCAAACTTTAGGGCCATTATGGCGTAGAGAAATTGCAATAGTGCTGTAAGATACTTTCCACTGGTGAAACTTTATGGCATTCCTTGTATTGTAATTGTGTATTGCAGCATTCGTACAGAACATTTCTTTTTAAACATCAGGTAATGTATCAGTAGTAAACCGGTGCATTATCAAAGAAGTCTGTAATTTGTGTATATCATAAACATTGAGGCCCGAATTCACAAAGGAGGTTTGTCGACAAACCTAGGTTTATGTACGTCATATGACGCGTTTTGACGCGTTTTTTTACAAACCTGGTTTGTAATAACGCGTCGAAACGCGTCATAAATGACGCACGAAAACCTAGATTTATCGACAAACCTCCTTTGTGAATTCGGGCCGAAGGGTTTGAAATCTTCTAAACAGACGTTGTGACGGGGCACGGTAATCAGAATGGGAGCAAAAACGTAATGCACGTTTTTGTAACCTGTGTATTTTCAATAATTTAGACTGCTGTTTAGAAGCCCATGCAGCATTGCAGTACATTATGTGAGGCATAACAAAGGTATTATATAACATAAATAAAATACGACGTGGCACAGTAAATCTTAAATGACCGATGACACCGACACTACGGGAAATCTTTTTGGTAACTGAATCAATATGACAATTCAAGGATAGATTTTCGTAAAACAAAACGCCTAAATAATTTATAACGTGACAATGTTCAATACGTTAACCATTAACCCTAATAAGGCCGGGGGCCATTATGGCCCCCCCCCCTCCAAGATTTTTCTGATTGCTCGAGAACGCATATGGATGGCGCCCCGCCACTCGCTGACTTTTTTTCTTTCGAGTCTTGCGCAACTTTTAAAAGAATTTTTTTGAAAATCGGACCTACGGTTACAAGGTCACGTGACCTTTTGTCTTTGCATGTCAGCCCGAAAATCGCTCATTTTCGTGATTTGTGTACAGAACAGATCAAACATGGGTCATTGGGTCTTGTTTAAAGTTTAGGTGGTTGTTTTGGGTGTCAAAATAGTTGAATTGTAGTAAGAAATGATATAAAACAACAAAAACAATGAAATACATAAGTTAAAAAAACAAGGAAATACATAAGAAATTATCAAAACAAGGGATAACATAAGGAATAAGCTGGCTCTTTCAATTTTTTTCTTGTATTATTATTCAAAATGGTCTAATGAATATATGTAGTGAAAAAGAATGCCTAATTATGAATAATATATGATTTATGGGTAAAAATGTGAGTTTTATGACTTTATTTGCATAAATTACCATAAATATGCAAATGAGTAAATTTTTCTAGAAATTGAAATTATCATATTATTCTATACACTTTATTTGTTACACAAATTTGTTCACAGCCGAGATCTTAAGGGGGGCCATAATGCCCCCCCCCCCCCCCGGCCATACTAAGACCTCAAATAACCCGGCCTTATTAGGGTTAATATACAGTGCGTCCCAGAAAATACAAAACCGAGAATGATCGATGTTTTATCATAACCTAATCACAATTATAATTGATAAATTGACATATTTCACGCATGAGTGATAAAAATGAATTTGAAGAGAAGAAACCAAAAAGTCATTTGGCGGACGGTATCTGAATTTCAAACAAAAATCACGTTTCTAGAAAGTTGAGTTTCTGCCCTTTCATGTGACACATCACAGGAAAAATGAGCTAGGAATAAAAAAAAAGTTCTGTTTGTTTAAAGTAGTGCTTGCATTTCCATAATTGTACCAAACGGATTCGTTTTAACTGGCTGCCTGCCGTAGCAACAAACGGAATTAACAAAAGACTTGACTCCGTTTCGTTGACAATCAGCCATAGATGAAAGACTTCATGCATGGCTGATTGTCAACGAAACGGAGTTAAGTCTTTTGTCAATTCTGCTTGTGGCAGGCAGCTAGTGAAAACGAATTCGTTTAATACAATTATGGAAATGCAAGCACTACTTTAAACAAACAGAACTTTGTTATTCCTTGCTCATTTTTCCTGATTGAGGGGTCATATGAAAGGATAGAAACTCAACTTTCTAGAAATGTGATTTTTCTCTTTGAAATTTAGATACCGTCCGCCAAGTGACTTTTTGGTTTCCTCTCTTCAAATTCATTTTAATCACTCATGCGTGAAATATGCATCATAATTTTTATTATCATTATAGTATTATTTGAGGTGTACTCACCTGTGCATAACATTGCTCTTTAGTGGACCCCTCTGATTCCAATGTGTATTTCTATATTTGTTGTTAATATTTATAATTGATTTGTAATGTTTTGTTGGAAACACAAATAAATTGAAATAAACTTGAAATAAGCTCTAAATAATATGGGTTAATACATGAAAATAAACAAAACTTGAAAAATTATTCCAATGTGTGATGAAAAGCTTGATTATATAATGGCGGTGAAATTTATTTGGAATCAGTTTGGCCGAACTTGAAGTCGTAAGATTTTTTAATTTTAATCTGTGGATGAATAGACTATGAACAGTCAATCTCATATTATTATGTCGAATAACCATTGAAGTCGATGAGAATAAAAAGTCCCAATTTTCCATTGTAGACTTTAATACGTGTGTTAAATCTCTGTATTAGTTGATTTTTGTAAGTCGAATAATCGCTAATTCAAACAAAATTAATCACTGTCAGAAAACAATTTTGCTTACGCAATACCCCATCGATCGACCCTGTATATCCCTTACAAAAAAAATCTATGATATTCCTATGGTACGGCTCTATGGTGAATGGTATTTCTATGATATATTATATGGTAGAATATATTTCTATGGTATACCACACAATTGCTGAATGGTGGAGTTCTATGGTCAATGGTATATCATTGATGCCGTCCTATGGTGTATGGTATTTCTATGATATATTATATGGTAGACTATATTTCTATGGTATTTCTGTTGAATGGTATCCCTATGGTGGAGGATATTTCAGTGGTAGCTCTATGGTGGATGATGACTTTATGGTATATCTATGGTGGTTATGTGACTCTATGGTGGCTCTAAAGTGAATGGTAGATCTATGGTAGCTCTATGGTGGCTGTATGGTGTATGGTATTTCTACGGTATGTTATATGGTAGAATATATTTCTATGGTATTTCTGTTGAATGGTATCCCTATGGTGGAGGATATTTCAGTGGTAGCTCTATGGTGGATGATGACTTTATGGTATATCTATGGTGGTTATGTGACTCTATGGTGGCTCTAAAGTGAATGGTAGATCTATGGTAGCTCTATGGTGGCTGTATGGTGTATGGTATTTCTACGGTATGTTATATGGTAGAATATATTTCTATGGTATTTCTGTTGAATGGTATCCCTATGGTGGAGGATATTTCAGTGGTAGCTCTATGGTGGATGATGACTTTATGGTATATCTATGGTGGTTATGTGACTCTATGGTGGCTCTAAAGTGAATGGTAGATCTATGGTAGCTCTATGGTGGCTGTATGGTGTATGGTATTTCTACGGTATGTTATATGGTAGAATATATTTCTATGGTATTTCTGTTGAATGGTATCCCTATGGTGGAGGATATTTCAGTGGTAGCTCTATGGGGGATGATGACTTTATGGTACATTAATGGTGGTTAGTGACTCTATGGTGGCTCTAAAGTGAATGGTAGATCTATGGTAGCTCTATGGTGGCTGTATGGTGCGGGGTATGGTGTATGGTATTTCTATGGTATGATATATGGTAGAGTATATTATATGGTATTTCCGTTGAATGGTATATCCCTGTGGTGTAAGATATTTTAGCAGTAGCTCTATGGTGGATGATGACTTTATGATATATTTCTAGTGGTTAGTGACCCCATGGTGGCTCTAACGTGGCACTTTTTACATAAAAAGGGCCCCTTTACTTTAAAAAGTGCCCCTATTATTTTTTTTTAAAGTGCCCCTTTTCCTTCGATAAGTTCCGGTTTTCCTTTGCAATAAGTGTCCATTTTCCATTCTCATAAGTGCCCTTTTTCCATCTCTAATAAGTGCCCCTTTTCAGATACGAGAAGTGCCCCTTTTCACTTTTGATAAGTGCCCCATTCACCTCTGATAATTTCCCTATTCAAATCTGAGAGGGGCCTTTCCCCCTTTTAATAACTACCCCTTGTTTAACTCGGATAAGCGCACCTTATATTTTCACATGTGCCCCCTTT